TGTTGGTCGGTTTGAGAAACATCTCAAAACCCCTCCAATTGAGTCGTACTTGAAAGTAGTTGTCAGAAAGTACAACAAAATGAGGTTCGTGGACAAATCAATTTGTCTTGTGATCCAAATCTATGCTGCACCGGTACATTTGCAAAGATCACGGACATTGGGCTGTTGAAATCAAGGCACATCTGCGAAACATTCCAAGGAGTCGTGCATGATGGACACCAGTTCTGCAATCCTCAGACTAAACACTGCACTACGTATAAATACTAAACAAGTGCTTGCCGCTGTGGTATGACCAGCTTGGCATGGTCAATTGGAAGATAGTGAGTAACTCAAAGGACAACATTTTGATCTTTTCCCTTGTTAGCGTGCTTGGTTTCTTTGCAACGACGTAGAGTTGCAAACACGTCCACAAAACTGTCCTAATGTGTACTCTACAGCTAGCAACGAAACCATTGACTTCATCCGCCTTCTCAATAAGAATTGGAAAAAGAGATGCAACAACACTGTCAAAACAACACCTCTCCTTGTGCTTTTGCGCGCCCGCTGCCGTAGCAGTTCCTGGATTGATCAAATTGATCAGCATTTCTGCCCAAGCGTCGCAACCCGTGAAAGTTTGCATGCCCACGTCTGCCAGCCGTGATTGGGTTGGGGCGCAAACACAGAGCCCCTAGAGCTTGGGAGAGTTTGGTTTGCTTGGGAACGGAAGCCAATATCCTGCATCATGGAAGCGGTGGCGGAGAAAACATGCACAAACAGAGCGCACATGAGAGGCTTTGCAATATTTGATGTGAGGGCGGTGTGCCATGTGATCTGGGACAGGACATGAAGTGGTGTGCTTGCAGTGGGAAATGACCCAAACTGTTGCCTGCATCCTCCCAGATGGAATTGCATTGGTAAGCAACAGTTGCTAAACTTTCAACAGGCGTTCAATCCATTCAAACCGCTCTTTCTGTCTCTCCCCCTCCCTCTCTCTCTCTATACGGGCCCTGACCTCGGCACCAAAGCCGATGGTGCCTTCCACTGCACCGGTTCTTGGGGGCAAGGGCGCCGTCACCTCCTAGCTCCTCGACGTGCTCCCCTCCATCTTCTGTGGAATGGGTGCCCTGGAAGGGAGCTGACGACGCCGTCAAGCCTTGAATCACTTCCGGCTCAGGTCTAGCTTGCAGCTTTGCTGTAGCTGCTTGGTCGCAAAAACTGAACTTGGCGTGGCTCTTGGCAAGCCCCCCCCCCGACACTTCTTCTTTTTGCCCTTCTTCTTCTTCTGGATGGCCTCTGCCGCCCCGCAGGCCTGACTTCGCTGTATCTTTCTTCTCTCCTTCTCCTCTGCTTTGCGAGATGAGGCGCAAGCGCCGCTTTCCCGCTCCCACGTGCCCCTGCCAGTGCGGCTACTTGAAGAACGCTGCCAAGGCTGGAGCCCTCGTCCTCAGCAACTTGGCACTCGGCGCGCTGCCTGGTCCACTGGGAGGCTTTCCTCTCGCCGACCTTGCGCCCACCCTCTCCTCTCCTCCTCCCTTTTCTTCAAAGCCGGATTATCTGCCTCATGGGTCTAGTCTCTTTGCCGTCTTTTTGTCCACCTTTCAACGCAGGCGTTCTTCCCTCCAACACTTCCAAGACCTTGTTCTCCGATTGTAAATTGGCATCTCCGGACAGCAGCGTTGATAACACCAGTCCACTTTTTTGCTTGGCGGAGCCTTGACACATACTCATCCTCGAATGGCACGCACGCACCAAGTCCATCCAAGTACTCCTCCACGATCGTGAAGATGACCTTCGCAACGATTGAATCTTGAAGACATCTGACTGGTGATGAGTGCGTTCTCGTTTCAAGTAGCCTCAATCTTGAATGCTCTGGAAACAGGGTCATATGTTGCGTGAGGTTTGGCAAAGGCGTGTGGTCCACCATCTCGAAACTCGAAGGCGACATGCCCCCACTGCTAGCGCATCTCCCGCCAGCGGCGCAAAGTAGCCCAATGAAGAGCTTCCTCCCCAATGGCACCAAGCCAGATCTGAGATCGCAGCATTGGTTTCTGCCTTTTTTGCATACTCCCATGTCATCCGACAACTTGTGGGCTCTTGTGCTGGCGCGCTCCGACCTCCCACGCCGCTGATGTTTGTTCCCACCTCGATGGCGTCCGTGTCCTCTCCTTTGTTGCCACCAACCTACTGAGGGGTCTGAGTCGACCTCAGTCCTCCTTGAGCTTGAACTGACTTCCTCGTTACGTTCTGGAACTCCATTAAGGTCGACGTCGATTCTCCGTGAATGTGCGGATCGCCCACGCCAGCCTGGCTGTGCTCACAAACAGTTTCCTTGCACTGGTGTCTCGCTGGAGCGGTTGCATCCACCAGCGTTGCAACAAGACACCAGGCCCCCCCCTCTGCCACTGCGGAACAGGGAACCGCCAACACATTCTTCAGAAGAATTAATGCCTTTCATGGACCTGGTGATGCAAATGATGCAATGATGATAAATATTTAGATTCATTTACTGCATGGCACATCCTTTCTAGGTCATCATGGATATTGCAAAGGTTGTAATGGCTCTATGTTTCAACCCCTGAATGATCCAATGCATGATACTTGTCACCTCTAGGTCATCATGCATATAGTAAAGTTTTTTTGTAATCACTCCATGTTTGACCCCCTTACAAATTGTACATCTTTTAGCCGTCCAACATATATCCAACAATGCCTGCAAATTTAGCACCGTTCACCTCTAGGTCTTATATCGATCATGCAAATTGCACACTTTGTATCACTGAGTTGTCCGACCTAAAGACAATAAGCACCATTGCAGTGGATGAATAAAGAAAACGTACATGGGAAATACACATTTGCAGGCATTGGATATATGTTCGACCCCCTGAAAAATGTACAGTACCCTTTCATTATTGTTCGATCCCGTAATGACAAATAGAGTGATTGCAATAAACTTTACAATATGCATGATGCAGCTAGAGATTCCACATCTCTATGCCAGTTACTGTGCAGTGCTCTGACGGTAAATGGTACCTAAAGGGCGAGGGTCTGTCCCAACAGAACTGGCAAGTCCACACAGCTCGTCTAAGACACGAAAGATCTCCCACCTCCCGCTGCTCGGAAGCATCGGAGAGGCAGGCAATGAGCCTGCACTGTTGGCGACCGTCGGAGCGTACCCGAGTTCGATGCTAAGGCCTGAATTACTTGGCTTTGGTGCAAAACTCCGAAGGCAGAATCAGAGATCGAATGTGGAACCGGGTCTTTTTCAATCACTGGTGAGTTGGTGACTACAGTTCACAGTTCTACTCTGTCCAAACACCAAAAAACAACTGCCCAGAGTCTGCATGAAGGCCACAAACACCGAAAAGGGAGATCTTCATCTCCAAGGCACTGCTTGGTCTGATTCTGAGCCATGGGGAGCTGTGCTGCCTCGCAGGCGCGGTTCCGTTGAGTGTCAGCTTCGACTTGACGCGCCTGGTAGCGTCCTTGCTCCTAGTAAGGCCAGGAGCCCCGATCGTAGCGATGCCCTTTGCTCCTACGCCTTGCCTGGGCGCGTAGGCTCTGGACCTCGGCGAGCACCGCCGAGAGCGCCGCATCCGAGGCGCGGAGCTGCTCGGCGAGCACCTTCGAGGGAGAGCTCGGTTCGGCTTTCGAGTCATTCGCTTCAGACGGCTTTTGACCGAGCGCTGAAGGAAGGCGCAAAAAAAAACCACACATGAAGTAGAGTTTCAAAATATGTTTTTAAAAGGAACTAACCTGAAGGATTGGGCCAAACGGCTCTTCTCGCGCCTCATTGTCATGAACCAAGGCGCTGGCAGCTGAGAGCGCCAAGTGGGTGTCCGCCTCTCCGCTTTGAAAAATCCGCTTCCCTTTGCTTCCATCCTACTAGCGATGGCCTCCACCCTTCTAGCGATGGCCTCCAACCTAATAGCTTCCACCTCTCAAAAAGAATTAACTTGTTTCGTTGATTTCGCAAGAATCTTCTCAATAATCTGCCGAAATCCGTCAACTGTGAGTGAATAGATACGTCAGCCAAATGCCAAATGCCCAATGCGCCTCGTTCTCAGACGGGCTTTCCTCCGAGTGGGGGTTGGAGGTAGCTAGTAGCGAAGTTCTGAATAGAAAAATCTTTCTTTGAACCCCTCTTTGAAGCTCAAAAAACTCTTTTGTTCCGTTTTCTTTCTTTGGACAACTTGTTCCGTTTTTTCAAACAAGCGTTCCACCAGGGCCGGACCCGCACACCCTGCACACCTCTCTCAACGGCGGGGGCTCCCAAGTGACACGGCCGGGCGCCTCCAGGAACCGAGTACCGAGAGATGAATGAAAGAAAGGAGAACCATACTAGTAGCTTCTTGTTACTAGTAAGGCCAGGAGCCCCTAGTAGCGTCCTTATTCCTAATGCAAGAAATGAAAAGGAAAGCATCCAAGTTTAAATTTAGGTGCGAATTAAACACTTCAGCTAAGCAGGTCTCTTCAGCAAAGTCTCGCCGGTATGCAGAGGCCGCTACATGTTCATCAAAGTTACAAACCCCTCCGAATTTCGCTACTTCATCTGGACAGTTGCCACAAAAGCTAAAGTTGAAGAAACTCTTTTGACAAGTACCCAATTGCTAAAGAATATCCTTTTGCGACAAACAAATCTTCCATTTGCTCCGCAGAAGTAGGGCATAGGTTGGAGGTCATCGCTATTAGGTTGCAGGCCATCGCTAGTAGGTTGGAGGCCATCGCTATTAGGTATAGGTTCTTCTTTGTTTCTCTTTATTGTTTGCAGTGAAATTGTCGGTTGGAGAAGTCGAGTCTTTCAACTTCACCATCTGTACACGCACGTGAAGAGTTGGGTTCAGCTGTAGCAACATTGAGAGAAAGAATCCTTGACAAGGAGAACTGAGTCTTTGTAGTATTGAACCACGGTGAAACGGGCAGGGAAAAAAAACCTGGAGCCTTGAGAGAGATAGGGTGGCCATCGATACTAGAGGCCATTGCCGCCATTGCCTATAGGTTCTTCTTTGTTTCAGTGACTTTCAGTCCGACCAGTCCGAAGAAAATCAATACCCAAATACACATCCAACTCTCCACGTGTCTCACCGGTCTTCAGACCATCCAAATGGGGCGAAAATTGCTGCATTCGCCTCAGTCACAAACACGAGGACTCTGGAAACTGACATCACTAATTACTCCTGGTCCTCCATTTTCACAAAGCGATACCTGATGGAACCAAGAGCTGGCCCTCAAGCCTTTGTGGCGTTTGAACAGTAGGTGTATCATCCACAACCGGCTGGCAAGACCCGCATGTTTAAGAGTCTACCAGTCGCTACCAGTGACGGGATTTGCTGGCACAACTCGTGGTCCCCACTGGTGAGTTCCGATGAAACATACGTCCACTTTAGTCAATCATGCCGGGCCCCGGTACGGATGGACGTATTGCAAGTGCATCTTTCCAAGAATAAGCCATTTTCTGCTCTATTTGTTGTCAATTTGTCAGTCCGTCATGGCCTTCAGGTACACCCGAAACCGGAAGTCTTGCAAAACCCCTCATAGGTGAACCACACTCCGGTTGCGTTTCGAACCTTTGAGCAAAACAGCCTCTCTTGGCTTCAACTCCCGCTGTCCAACGAGGTCCAATCTACTCCACCAAGAACCACTCCTCATCATGCATGTCTACACTCCATCTGACTTTCCTCCGATTATCTCGACGAGGCCCGAAACCGCCCAGTTGCATTGATCGTAGCTCTTCCTTTGGGCTTGCCAAGGTTTGCCATGTTTGTCATGTGCCTCAAAAACAGCTCAAAACTTAAACATGAACAAAAGAGGAGGCCAAGCAAGAGCACGATGAGCCGCCATGTTGTGTCTGTTGCTAGAATGAAGACACTCCCTCACTGCACCGCACTTCCCAAGTGCTCGTGTTTCATTTTGTTTGTGTTTGCTTCAAAATCACGAAGATCAAGAAGAATCAAGGAGCAAGAATTCGAGGAAATCGATGGCACCACTGCCATCTTTGTCCAGCGTCTCAAAGATCTTCCGGAGCTCTTCGAAGGAAAGGCCTGAGACAGAGCCAGCTGGCCCATTGGTCGGTGAATCTTTTTTAGCATCTTGCTTTTGCATCTTCCTAATGGCCACCTTTGTCGTGAAAATACATTTAGCATCCTTTTGTCGTTTCTCCAAGGTGCTCTTCTGTCCCAGCAGTCCACACGCCCGTTTCACGCCCAGCAGGTCCAGCTCTCCGCTGCCGCTGCTGTCAATGATGTCGAAGATCACGCGGAACTCATCCACCATCCCTAACACCGGAAGAACGGAAGAACGCTATTAGGAACAGGTGCCACGCTACTAGTAACAAGTGCCTTACTACTAGTAACAAGAAGCTACTAGCAAACATTGTTACTACTAGTAAGGCCAGGAGCCCCGAGTAGCTTCTTGCTCCTAGTAGTAAGGCACTTGTTTCAAATAGCAAACATTGTTACTACTAGTAAGGCACTTAATCAAATTCTTTGAAGGCAAGCCACTTTCTCCTTTCAACCACTGTGTCTGTGTAATGCCCTTCCTTCTCACATTCGATAAGCAAGTCGGCAGACACCGAGGCACGTTCTTGGAGTCCCAAATCAGCACCATAGGCCCGGTCGGCAGCACGAGTGCAAATAGCTTGCCACTCCTTGACCTAAATCGAATGTTTAAAACAATAACAGAAAAAAACATCGCTTCCGTTCACAAAACCGCGCGGGTGCCTGGCGGACAAAGCGAACGAAGGCTTCAAAGTCCAAGGTCAACGGCGAGAAGCCGAACTCATTCACATCATTCCTCAGCAAACTGGGAGCGGCTGGAGCGGGCTCTTTTTCGTTTCTTTCGTCGATCGCGACCGGATTGGTTTCGATGCTGCTGTGCCACAGGAACTCTGTGATCTTCTTCTGATCTTCCCGTTGCTTGGGTCCCAAATGAAGCGCTTCCAAGGCCTCGAAAGGACGATTTAGTTGCGTTGTTTGCAGCCCGCCTATTACTGAGTTAAGGAGGCACCTACCTAACTAAGGCGACTAGCAATACGAAGCCAGCTAGGACACAGGATAGCTCACGCCCACGCTTGCACTAATGATGTGGTTCCTAGATGAGGGAAACTTGACCACGACTCAGACCGTTTCTTAAATCTCTTGTTCGGGTCGTCTGGTGTTTCATCAAACGTCAAAAGCCACAGGTACAGTCAACAAATAAGACCATACTCAAGTGCTGTCAGTTCCAAGGATTCAGAGCTTTCTTCTCTGATCTTCGTCTTCACTGGGTGAATTGTGAATCCCCGCGCATCGAGGCCTGGCTCACTTCTGGTATCCCCACGGCATTCACGCTGAACTTCCCGGTCTTCTTCCGCCTGTTTCGTCCACGCATTTCGGTTCAATAACGTCGTTTCTTGCGATGGCCAACGACTCATGACGTTCTGTGGATGTTGAGAAAGTGGACGTTAGCAAAAATAGAAACATCTACTATATAGTAACTAGAAGCTACTAGGAACAAGGACGCTACGAACGGGGCTCCTGGCCTTACTAGGAGCAAGAACGCTATTGGGAACAGGTGCATCGCTAGTAGTAACAAGTGCATCGCTACTAAAAACAAGAAGCTATTAGGAGCCTCCTGGCCTTACTAGGAGCAATGTTTGCTATTAGGAACATTAACGTCCTGTTTCACTTTCAGATCTCTTGAGCGCAGCCGGGCCCCGCTGGGCCCCGCTGGGCCCTGCTGGGCCTCCTGAGCATGCGCTCAAAGATGGGTACCAAATCCTCCCGGAGAGCTCTGGACTGCAGAAGACGCACCTCAGACGCTCAGACGCTCTGTTAGTTTCAGATCCCAAGTCAAATCACTTCCCCTTCAGATTTGTGTGGTCAGACTGAGTCTAAAAGGAAAAGTAGGCGCATCACGCACTTCCGAAGTTTCATTTCTTCGTTTGGAGATGACCATCCCGAAAATGCTTCAGTCTGAAGTGTTGGCCTTCGCATCCCTCAGGTGTTGCTGCCGAAACAAATAAAGATTTGAACAGTGAGTCAGTTTGAATCTTCGGGTTGCATTCTTCGAAAAGGAAATCTGCTTCCAAAACATGCCAACTGCGGAACGAACGAGAGGAACGAGAGGAACGGGATGGACTGAAATGATGACTCGGAATGGCCGAAAGCCCGTCTGGGCCATGTGTCTGAGTGTACCAAGTAGAGGAAGCGGGCAAAGTCCATGCAACCTGCACCGCTGCCACTGCCACTCACGCCACTCACAAAAAGGGCTTTCCACTTGCTATCAGGATTCTTGGGTTCATCTCTCATCTCCCCGTATGGCTCACCAAAAACAGGCTGAGCCTGGGCCTTCTGGGCCTTCTGGGCCTTCGCCCGGTGCGCCTTCATCAAGGCTTCCCACCTGAGAGGCCAGCTGAAGGAACTCGCTGGACTGCAAAAGAGCCTCGGATTTCGAATTCCAAAGGTTCCGAACACTTGACAAACACAATTATTTCTTTCACTAGCGATGGCCAAAGGTTGTTCCACAATTAGGTTGATTTCCAAAGGACTCCACTCTACGATTTGTGTCGATGAATCCCTGATGGGCCTTCCCTGACAACTACTTTTGCAAAAGCATTCTATGCATCTGCAGTCTCTGCCTTAAGCGCTGCTTTTGTTCCCAGCCATCGCTGTGAGTTCCTCTCAAAGAGCAAGCCACATGGATTGGTTTCTGGCAGATGCGCTGTGGGCTGTCAACAGGTGTCACTGTCAAGTGTCACTGTGTGCTTTGATATTTATCTCCACAAAGATCAGGCTTTCCTCTGCAACTTCATCTGTGGATGGCAACTGAATGAAACCTGCATGTGCCTTACTTGCCCTACAATGGGATCTGCTTGTTCAAAGGCGCCTTCTTGAGTCCAATGTTACGTAAAAGCCATTTACCCTTGTGACCCACCACCACGCTCCACGCTCGGTCCTGGGGACTTGCCCAGAAAAGCGGGCCACTGCAGGGTTGGCCGCAGCATCGGTGCAAGCCAAGGAAATCATCACGAGCATCTCCACTTTGTTCTCCGATGGTTTTTCCGAAAAAGAAAAAAACAATTATTCTTTACCTCTGAGAAATTTTGAAATAAGAAGCTAGTAGAAACAAGTGCATCGCTTCTAGTAACAAGTGCCTTACTAGTAGTAACAATGTTTGCTACCTCTGAAACGGTTTTGACACCTCTCGATTCCGCACGCTTTTCCCCACCTGGTCGAGACAAGGAAGGAGGCCCAAATTGCTCAGAGCCACCCAGACTTCCACCTCTCTCGACACATCTGCATGATTTTATGCGCAAACGTTGTTTGCATGATTTTATGCAAAGGATGACGCTTTGCACACAGTGTCGGCCTTCTTCACCACACCAGAGTGGGTGTCATCGAAGGAATAGAAAAGCTCGATCATCGCCTCGAGTTCCTCAGCATCTCAGGGCCGTGCAACGTGCACATTGCAAATCTTTGCTTCTGAGCTTTCACAAGCTCGAATTCTTATTCATACCTTTGGGTCAAACAAAGGAATAAGAAGAAGAAAGAGACATATCACATATACAAAAACAAGGTCCACGCTGTCCGCGCGTTCAAACATGGTTGCTTGAGTGAATTTGCTCGGCCTAAAGGAAAACAAAATAAACAATGGAACCTTCAGAACCCGTTCAGAAGCCGCATTGTTTCCTGGTTGCTTCGAAGATACACGTCTCTCTTTGCGTTTCGCGTCTCAGGTCCTGCGGCACGGTGGGCGGAACCTGGCCTTGCGGAACTCTTGGAAGAGCGCCTTGCCCAAGCCCAGCTGCTCTGCCAGTTCGATCTGCTGCTGCGCCGTCAACCTGCCGTGGGCCTCTGACAGGAAATCCGCCATGACCTGAAAATCGAGCGACGTGGCAAAGCGTGTCCGCGAGTGATTGTAAACTGGTTCGCTGGCGGTGGCTGGTTGCGCTGGTTATGCTGTTTGTGCTGGTTACGCTGGTGCGCTGTTTACGCTGTTTACACCGGATCCGGTGTAGGTGATGTAACAGTGTAGACGGTGTACACGGTGCAAAATTGTGTCGACGGTGTAAACAGTGTAAACGGTGTAGAAGGTGTAAGCGGTGTAGACGGTGTAAGCGGTGTACAAAAGATTGTGTGAACACTGGTTGCGCCAGCAATGTGAAAATCGAAACAAGGCTCAACGGCATGGAATGGCCAGACGATTTTGCAAAAATGAAGACCATCGCTAGTAGGTTGGAGGCCATCGCTAGTAGGATGGAGGCCATCGCTAGTAGGGTGGAGGCCATCCCTAGTAGGTTAGAGGCCATCGCTAGTAGGGTGGAGGCCATCGCTAGTAGGTTAGAAGCCATCGCTAGCAGGTCGGAGGCTCTCACTAGTAGGTTGGAGACAGTGGAACGCCCACACTGAGACCTCGAACTCGAACTTGTCAAACTTCATGTCTGGCAACAACCGCGGCAAGTCTTCCAGCGCCACTGCATCCGGGCGTTCCCGCTCCTCTTCGATTGTCGTTTGGTGTCCCCTTTCTGAACAATTCTAATTAAACTTGCTCTAATTCTATGTTTATTCTATTTATATCTTTATTGTTTCTAATAGCTTCTTTGTTCCTAGTAGTAAGGGCAGGAGCCCCTGCTCCTAGTAGCTTCTTTGTATGCAAGAACAGCCATCCAGTGGTTCTTCGGACGGACGGCTGCATGGTTTCATGTTCATCTGTGTGTTTCGCTACGATGTCGTGCCCATTCTTGGACTCTTGGCGCATGGATGGACAAACAAAATCCTCCATCCCCAAAGTTGATCATGTTCAGGAAACAACCATATGTCATCTGTATATGAATGGAATGACTATTCCAAGAACTTGAAGAGGGAGGTTCAAAAGCAGAAAATTTTGCGATATGAAAAGGCTGAAGAACGCAGCTCAGAATTTCAAGAGAACGCGTCGACTTGTTGCTTACAGCAGCGAGTTCAGGGAAGCCTGCAAAAAGTGATGTCTTTTTCTGACTCCGTCTCCTCCAGGAGAAAGTCTACCTTGTCGTGGTGAGTCTGGGCTGGGCGAAGGCCCTGCAAAGACACGCCGTACGCACCGTGAACGGACCGTGTCGACGTGGTTCGGAGTATTCCGTGTACCGAAATGTCTGGCCAATCGGGGCAGTGTCAATTTGCAATCGATGCTTCCGCAGTTCGTTTCGAGTCACTTTTCGCAGCGCCTTAGACATCGGTCCTCAGACGCGGTGACATGCATTGCGCATGCATTGGATGCCGTAAAAATCAATGTAAATGTCGCTTTGATTGGCTCATGGATTATCCAGGCACCACCTGTAGCCTCACATTCGGAAACAAAACAGAATCACAACAGGGGAAACGAACATAAACGACCCCCCCTTCGTTGGCCAGAAGAAAAACAATTCAATTTTGATGGCTCCAACAAGAGCCAAGTAAACACGTATGTGCCTTTCAATTCGAGAACAACCATCCTGCATAGCCTGCATCTTTACTTTGAGACGTTTCAAGCTTTGACAAACTATTTCACATCCTCATGTGTTCGGACGAGTTGCTGGGTGGGTCACGGTCCTCTAGATCCTTCGCGATGAGTGAATGACCAAGACTGTCCATCGAGACTTGTGTCTTGGAAAATGAAGATTTGCTTTGAAATAGTCAGTCCTTGGGTCCTTGGGATGGTGTGCCACATCAGGTTTGTAGCTACATTTACTAAAGCTGCTTCTAAGACTGTCTCAAGAACCTGTTTTCTCTCAAGTTGTCACAAAATGTCACATTGCGTTTGTTGCAAAGCACCTCAAACATCTTTGACTTGCCGCTCTTGCCCACGTCCTCGTCTCCCTCCTTTGAGCTGGGCCGCTCTCGAGAATTCGGCCGCTCCCGGGACGCCGGACGCTCAGTGACCGAGCGCGTGCTGGCGCGTGGCATGCGAGACTTCACCTTCCAGCAAGTCTTGCTACGGTCAAAAGTGGTGTTTGTCCTGTCTTTGTATTGTTGATCTTTCTTGTAATTTCAGTTTTCAAGTCAATATATATTATATGTGTCTTCCTGATCTCTTCACAAAAGAATGCTTTCCTACTTTCCAGCCCTAGGACCTGCTCAAGGTCTTGGAGTCTTGGATGCCTTTCATCCACTTTTGGAACAAAGAGCGCTTTCAAGCGCAGAAAGCAATTAGTTAGCAATGAGATTGATTTCCTTTGTATAGACCTTTCTTCCTTTTCTTTTTCGTTTCTAGTAGCGATGGCCTCCAACTTACTAGCGACCTCACACCTGCTTGAAATGACACCACCGTAGACCCCAAACAGTTTGTGTCTTTCAATATCGGAACACTCTGCAACTAGAGCTTGCGACGTCCAGAGCTGGGAGACAAAGGATTGCAAGGCAGAGGCGGCCACAGCAGTCCAGAGCTGGGAGACAAATGTAGACACAAGGAGACAAATGTAAAGGATTGCAAGCCCAGAGCTGGGTGACAAATAAAGGATTGCAAGGCAGAGGCGGATACAGCAGTCTAGAGCTGGGAGACAAATGCAAAGGCTTGCGAGGACACATGTAAAGGATTGCAAGGCAGAGGCGGACACAGCAGTCAGAACTGGGAGACAAATGTAAAATTAAAGGATTGCAAGGCAGAGGCGGACACAGCAGCCCAGAGCTGGGAGACAAATGTAAAGGCTTGCGAGGACACATGTAAAGGATTGCAAGGCAGAGGCGGACACAGTAGTCAGAGCTGGGAGACAAATGTAAAATTAAAGGATTGCAAGGCAGAGGCGGACACAGCAGCCCAGAGCTGGGAGACAAATGTAAAGGATTGCAGGGCAGAGCAGCTGGGAGACAAATGTGAAGGGGTTGCAAGCAAGCGAGAGGGGGAGAGAGGAGGCAAAAGGGCGGAAACCAGCAGCGACAGACCTGGGAGACAAATGCATAGAAATGACAGTGACAGACCTGGGAGACAAATGAATAGAAATGCTACATGGCCAGCCGAAAAGGGTGGACACCAGCAGTGACAGACTTGGGAGACAAATGAATAGAAATGTTGCATCGCCAGCGGAAAAGAGCGGGCACCAGCAGTGACAGACCTGGGAGACAAATGACTAGAAAAGCTACATGGCCAGCGGAAAAGGGCGGACACCAGCAGCGACAGACCTGGGAGACAAATGCATAGAAATGCTACATGGCCAGCGGAACAGGGCAGACCAGCAATGACAGACCTGGGAGACAAATGAATAGAAATGCTACATGGCCACCGGTAAAGGGCAGACACCAGGAGTGACAGACTTGGGAGACGTGAGTAGAAATGCTACATGGCCGGCGGAAAAGGGCGGACACGAGCAGTGACACAAAGCGCGGACACATCTTAAGAAAGAATTGAGAACCCTAACAGTAAACTGCTTGGGGAAAAATCAATCCTTCTTTCTCCCCATGCGAAAAAGCCACGGCAGCCCGCTTCTTCGAAGCCAAGTCTTCCGACGCCTCAGGTCATGTCCCGAGCCTCGTATCGGTGAGCCATTCAGGCGCCGTGGCGCTATAGAGTAGTGGCACCAAACGGACACAACTAGCGGTGCAGAAACAACAACAACAACAACAACTACTACTACTACTACCACCACCACCACCACCACCACTGCTACCACCACTACTACTA